AAACGTATATTAGTTTTGCAATTAAAGAGGGAAGGATTGCATGCTAAAAAGTGAAAACAACCTGCAATCTCAAAATCTCGAGCATCTATATACATTTGGCCCCTAGTCTTTAGAGGCAGACATTAGAGTGCTTTTAAAAGGTGGCACAATTTGAGTAAAGGTTAAAAGATAAAAGTGCAAAAACGAAAATAGGTATTTAGCAGTAATCATTCTCTTGTCAAAACCCTATAGCGGTCTACACTGGAATAATACTACATTCAAATCTCCAGCCACATGACATACTAGCTGTAAACATCAAGCAAGTTACTTGAACCTCTGGGCCCAGTATCCCAATGGGTAAAATGGGATTAATAATAGTACTTCCTCCAAGGGCTGTTGTGATGGTTGAAGGAGTTATTGCATGTAAAGCACTCAGAACAGTGCCTAGCACAGTAAGTACTCAATAAATGTTGGCTTTTATTAACCATTATTGTTAGAACAACATTACAACAACAAAAAAAGTTAAGATAAAGCACAAGATCAACTTGCAAAAATTAAACATTGTAGTAACACTGTTGTTTATGTTTTATTTATTGAAAACTATTCAAAAAAAACTTATCCTTTCCACAAGAGATAAAAAGCCTAATTATCCATTAAGTTGGTGGTATTCAGGGCAAGAATCAAACTGCAAAAGTGGTTAAATGGAAAAATACCTCTGTCATTAAGCGTTTTAGTCCTTCGACTTCATCTTCTCCAGGGTTAAGTTCACCACCAGGTCTGTATAAAAGTTAAGAATTTCAGCTTTCAACTTAATACAATTTTAGGGTAACAGGAAGAAAAAAAATAATGCTTAATTTCTATCATGTAACTGAATAACACATATTTCAATGTTGCCTAAGGCAATCAAAGGAAACAAATGTAAAGGGAGGGGAAAGAATGTGCTAGAAAGTTGAATTCATTGTATTAAGTCACCAGACAGTACACAAACCCTAGTTTTAAACAAACAAAACGTGTAACATAACAAATATAACTGCTGGCCATGAGTCCATCCCAATCTCTTCTCTCTGGAAGCTATCTGGTGAAAATGGATTATAGAAACGCCCAGAGAGGCAGTGGACCACATTCTTTAGGTCTGAAAAATGGGACATTTTTCAAGAATTCCTATCTAAGGATTTGACCTTTTTGGTATAATCTGGTCAAATAGTTGTGGACTAAATGTATAATACTGAGAGATTTATAAGTTTAAATGATAAAACTAAATAGTTATCTATAAATATGTAAGTCATTTTAAGAAAAATAAACACTATTCATCCTAAGAAAGAAATAATATCAATTGTTCTTAGTAATGCTACAATGATACCTAGAAATTGAATTTGGACTTATTTGCTGTACAGGGCTTCTATCAGGCTCAATTATTAGCAATATACAGACACATGCAGATTTCTAATTAGGCAATAAATGAGCACTACCCTGGAGGAAAATGACTTTATGAATTCCTCTTTCTGAAGACTCCATTAATAGTGTTTGCGGAAATGAATAAGGTCTAAAACTGTATTCCAAAGCTGCATAAAACAGCAATCCTAAAAGCTGTCTTGCTGTTAATTTCCAGTGACACTTACAATTTGAAGAAAGTTGTGCCCAGCTGCAGCAGTAACACATGTGGTAGCCGGTGTTCATGGACAATCAGAACCCCTTCTACGGTCCTTCTCATTCCAATTTTATCAAATTCCTCCCTCATGCGCTGAAATCTGGCTGCAACAGAGCTGTCCTTCTCATAGAGGGGCTCTTTTGTACCAAAAGTATAATTGGTAAGAGGGTACCTGTGATCCAAAGACAAACATCTCACCTGAGAACTGAAGACAATAATTTACCATGACAGATTCCAACCACGGATAAAGAAACTATGGTATAAAAGTGTATATGTTGTACTCAGAGACACAGGATTTGTCCAAAGTTACATAGCTAGTTAATGTGACAGCAAAGATTAGAATCCAGCTCTCTGGACTATAAAGTCAGAGCTTCCATTAGATCAACCTGCTGCCCACACTTGAACTTTCAACTATACACAACACCATCCTTAAGGCCCTCAAATGCTTAGAGAAGTGGCCACCTGGATGTCTGGTACTCCCCTGGTTTTTTATCACGGCTGCCATACTAATATCGACAACCTAGCTAATGCTCCCTAGGGCTCCTCTACCAATCTAATCAGAAATTCTATTAACTATAGGTGTTAAAGACTGATACTTATTTTTCTACAAGATCAGCCACTACTTTCCATCATCTCTTCAGTTAGCAAAGCAGGGACTTCTCCATTGTACACCAAGCATTATGCCCAGTGCCTGATACAAAGTAGGCATTTATGCAATGTTTCCTAAAATAAAGTATATTGTGGGGAAGAGGACTTGTTTTCAAGTTAGATTATAATGCACCCTGGTGAAATGAGTTCACATCAGTGATTTTTTTTCTGAATACTGTATTTATACAGGAGAGGAAACGTTCTGTAAATTCATCAACCCACAACTTTTTAAAAATTTTTTGTTTATTTATGTTTAAGAGAGAGAGAGAGAGCACAAGCAGAGGAGGATCAAAGAAAGAGGAAGACACAGAAAACTGAAGCAAGTTCCAGGTTCTGAGCTGTCGGCACAGAGTCTGACAGAGGGCTTGAACTCAAGAGCCCTGAGACCATGATTTTGGCCACAAAGTTGGACACTTAAACTAAATGAGCCACCCAGGCATCCCCATCCACCCATAACTTTAATGGGGCAAAAATGAAAACATTTCACCAAGTTAATTCTACGTAGTCATTTGATGCAAATTGGTCCAGGAATAAAGTTAACTCAAGAGAAAACCATGCGCCCTAGCTCTAATTACCAAAGTAATCCAGAAGCTGTGCTTTCACATGAAAAGAAAAAAAAAATTACCTTTTCCACTTCATGGAAATCTTATGAAGATGTTTTGAAGAAGAGATCTGAAATTAAACTGCTATTATGCTAATGTACTGGCTAGAGATATTAGCTTGTACATACACCACTATCTACCTACAGATTTAATAAACCTAACATTTTTATTATCTAACTTTCCAAGCCAGCACCTGTTTTGCCAAATAAAGCAATAACAACCACCATCTTTTCCATTTCAAATCGCTGTTGAAGGGAACAAGTCCATTTATTTGAATGTAAAATAGAGAAACACTTAAAGTTTCTCATGGAAACCCCAGTATCAGTAAATTCTTGTACCTTATAAATACTGACCAGTATAAACTGGCTACTTTCCTCCATTAGGGTCAGCACCACGGTGGGTCACAAACTCTAAGATATTATTTAAAGCAAAAAAAAAAAAAAAAAAAGAAAAAAGAAAGAAAGAAAAGAAAAAGGATATTCTGACAATTTCTTGATCAAGACAGAGCCCAAACGCCAATTACCCGCCACTGCAAGATGACTTTTGTGAGTGACATCGACACGCAAGGGCTTGAAGAGCTTAAACAGAAAAGTGTTGAAAATAAAAACGCAGGCCACAGTGGATTCTCTGGGGCTGCAGGCTGGTCCCCTCCACGGTCTGAATGAAAGCCCAACCCTAACAGAATCCACCCTAAGCTGGGGGCCTACGCGGTGGTTGACTCCGGTCGCTGCGGCAGTCAATGCCGCAGGTGAATGCATAGGGTAAGCCAGCTAGTTCTGAACACAGGAATAAAATGTGCTGCATTCAAGAACCCAAATGCAATTAAGCAGTTAAGAGAAAAAACCTAAACCTAAGCTTCATACCGAGATCTCGAAAGCTTACCGCTACAGAAAAGTGAAAACTGCAAAAACGATACATTACACCATTCATACCAGATAAAAAAAACACAAAAACAATACCACAAACGTGATGTGAAAACAGAAACATTGGACGGGAAAAATAAACACACCTTTTCCAGTAGTTTACCTCTGGAGACGTGGGGAGGGGGTGAGTTCAAAACAAACTTGGGATTTTCCTAGAATGACTGAATGGAGGGGCAGGGGAGCAAGCCTTCTCTCCAGAAAAGGAAAACCCTCCTCCCAAGTAGGACTCTAACCCCATGGCGCCCGAGGACCAGGAAAGGGCCCCGAGGGATCTTCAAAAGCGCGCGTCCGCGAGCGGGACTGGAGATGGTGGGGAGGCGTGGAGCCCGCCGAGGGCCAGTGACGCGCCAGAAGACCTGGAGTCTTTAGGAGCGCTAAAGAGGAAGGGAGTGCCCGCGAAGGCAGCGCGCTAAGGCCAGGCCGCACTTACAGATTGATGGTTCGCTCCAGGGTGAGGGGCTTCGTCTGCTGGATGTACTTGTTGCCGAACTGGTTGACCCCTCGGGGCCAGCCGGTTTGTGAGCGATTGGGCGGCACCACGGACATGCTGACTAGCTAGAATACTGGCGGCGAGAGGAAATGGGGCAGGCAGGGAGACTTTCCCTGTGCCGGGAGCGGTTATTCGCGTTCTCCTCAGCAGACGCCACCCGCCATTAACATGAGAGGGCAAGAGGAGGTAAAGGCACGCCGGAAGTGCATCCGGAGCGTCTGGCGGCAGGAAGTGGAGCGGCGGTGGCTGGCCTAGCCCAGCACCACTGGGCCAATCGCTGATGAGATGACTGCAATATCTGGAGTTTCCATTGGTAAATCAGGAATGGGCTCCTCCTCCTCTTACTTTCGCACTTCCTATTGGGCGGTGCTGGGAAACACGGGATAGGGGGCATTCTGGGAATTGCAGTCCGCCCAGGAAAGTATAGCTGCTTAATCAGTGTGGCGTGGGTCTGTAGCTTAAGAGAAGATGAATGGGAAACGGCCAGCTGAGCCGGGCCCCGGCCGTGCGGGGAAAAAGGGAAAGAAGGAGGTGATAGCGGAGTTTTCGGATGCTGTCACGGAAGAAACCTTGAAAAAGCAGGTGTCTGAGGCCTGGAGCCGCAGGACGCCGTTCCGTCACGGTAACCGAGTGCTGTGAAGGGGGAGCTGCCGCGCGGGGTCTGGGGGCCTCTGAAAGTCCTGCCACTCGAGCCGAGCCCTGGGCAGCGGGGCCACAAGGGAAGAGTCTCTTGGAGACAGTATGACTTTGGCCACCTCTGACTCTCCTGCTATCCTCTATCATCCCAAGTTCGGTTCGGATTTAGAAATCTGAGAAGAGGAGGAAACGTAGGCCCGAGAGTTTTGGGAAGCAGAGGGCATGCAAGTTCGTAGTTCCTCCGAGGGCAATGATCGCTTATCCCAAAATAGCGTAGCCAGAGCATTTGTTGTGAGCTGCCAGATAGTTGGCACCTGCGCTTAATCGTTTTCACATGCCTATAGGTCGACTGCGTGACTTATGAAAGCAAACAAGTGTTGAGCAAGGGGAGGAACCCACCTTGAACGATTCCAGCCTCAGCCTCAGATACCACCTTAGGGGATAAGAATTCTGCTTAATGCATCATGCTTTCCCTTCTAGAGATTGCCATGATTTTGCTTTCAGTTGTTAAGTACTTTAAAGAGGTGAGTCCTGGGTGTCTGGATGCACATAGAAAGTGATAGCTCTATACACGCAGGGACTTGTCAATATCCTAGGCTGTAGGATGGAAATAGGGATAGTGTCTACCACAGCTTGCTGAAGAGATGAAGTGAAGTCGTGCGTCTACAGCACCACTGTGTTTGGCACGTGGTCGGTCGTGGTGGTGGTGACTATTAGAAGCAGTGGGTAAAATGTTGAGCTAGAAATCAAGGCATCGGAAAGTTATGCTTGAACTGATTAAAAAAAAAAAAAAAGAATGTTGTAACTTCCTCCAATAGTAACTTGGGGAAAGAAAAAGTAGGGTCAGTGAAAAATCACCAGCCGCAATTGTTATTGTCACTTTTTAAAAATGTATATATTTTGAGAGAGCAAGCACAAGTAGGAGAGGGGCAGAGAGAGAGAGAGAGAGAGAGAGAGAGAGAGAGTCAGAGAGTCCCAAGCAGGCTCAGCACTGTCCAGCGCAGAGCTGGACTTGGGGTGGGATCCCACCAACTGTGGAGCTGAGCTGCTATTCTCGTTTTGTTTTTTTTTTAATTTGCTACTCTCATTTTAAGTGTGGGGGAAATCAGTAAAGAATCAAATATATTCAGTTCAATAGCTAATCTTTGAACTAAAACAGAAACGAAAACAAAAAAGCGGGTAGCCTGGGTGGCTCAGTGGGTTAAGCGTCAGATGTCGGCTCAGGTCATGATCTCGCAGTTTATGAGTTTGAGCCCCGCTTTGGGGTTGCTGCTGTAAGCACAGAGCCCTCTTTGGATTCTCTGTCCCCCTCTCTTTCTGCCTCTCCACTGCTCACTCTCTCTCAAAAATAAGTAAACATTTTTTTAAAACTCAAAAAGGAGGGGCGCCTGGGTGGCGCGGTCGGTTAAGCGTCCGACTTCAGCCAGGTCACGATCTCGCGGTCCGTGAGTTCGAGCCCGGCGTCGGGCTCTGGGCTGATGGCTCAGAGCCTGGAGCCTGTTTCCGATTCTGTGTCTCCCTCTCTCTCTGCCCCTCCCCCGTTCATGCTCTGTCTCTCTCTGTGCCAAAAATAAACAAACATTGAAAAAAAAAATTTTTTTAAAGAATTAGTATTTTAAGAACAATATTTTTTAAAAGTAGCATTGAATGCATAAAGAAAAAAGAGAGAGCTTATAATTCTTCCTCCAAATCTTAGACTTTACTTACTTGATTTGTGAGAATTCACAACCATTCCCTTTTGTAATCTCTCGCTATACCACTTGGGGGTCAAAAATATAAAAGGAGAAAAAGCCACAAGTAATGTTTTCCTTCCAACAGAGGCCATTGTCATGGACATGGAACCCTTTCTTCACTGCGTGATCCCAGACTTCATCCAAAGCCAAAACTTTTTGGAAGGGCTTCAGAAGGAACTTTTGAACTTGGACTTCCATGAAAAGTATAACGATTTATATAAGTTCCAGCAGGTATTTATGTCCCTTTCACTCTTCCACTTCAGAAATTAATTGACCACAAAGCCATTCATTACCTTTGGACTTGAAGTTTTAGATTGGGTTTGCCTTGGAGGGTCCTTGCCTTGACATTGTAAGAAACATTCATTGATTTCACATAAGCTTACTGAGTGTTAACAATGTATTAGGTGCTATAATTATTGCGTGGGACTCTCTGACAGTCTCTGCCCTGTAAGACTTCAAAATCTAAAATAGTAGAAGTGATAACGATGGCAACAGATAGTCAAGAAATACAGTAAGCCAGTAAGTTAAGTACATTATAAACAAAGGGGATCAGGTACATTTTGGGGATTGATATGCTAAAGAGAACTGTGTGTTGGAAAATAATAACCATTTAAATTTTTGAGTTCATGTCTGTATTTTAGGTGGCATGATGTATTGCAGCATGTTGCTCACTGCAGAATGTCCAAGGAGAGTTAGGTCTATTCCTTTTTTGGTGGACGGTTTAATTTGGCAGGAAAGACCATGTCAAAATCATGGCTGGATTTTCTACTCTTAGAAGACAGGGCCTAGTCTAGGTATGGAAATCTAGATCATTGGTTTCCCCAGTTTTGGGGGGAATATCTTTTTAGTACGTGGTGTACATCACTCTTAGAAATCCTTTATAAAACTTCATGGACATCAACCCTCAAGAATCACAGGATAAAATGAAAAAGATGAAGACCTATTTTGTTTTCTTTGCATTTACCCTTTGATTCCTCTTTATCTGGGATAAGAAAGTAAATAACAGGATTTCTCTCTCTTTTATTCTTTTGCACTAGAGCTGATTGTGTCCCCCAGTATGTCTATCTTTGGGCCTTACACATATGATTGAATTAACCACATGATAAAATACACAATATAACTCTTAATAATTCAGGAAATCCAGTTAATATTAAGCTTTTATCCTTAGTAAAGTTACATAGGTTAATTAAAACCACAATGATCTGCCTTGGTAATTATTATCAACTTCAGTAACAATAAATCTCTGTTAGATTTAGGGCCATATGCACCTCTGATTACTAAAGTTGAGAAATAAAGCTGGTTTTTACTTAATGCAGTTTGGTGGATGAAAATACTTCTAACTGTAAAGTCAGTGAGTGGGAAAATAATAAAAAGGGCCCTGGGTAATGAGGAGGGGAATAAAAGATAACTTTAGATCACATGGGTGTTTGATGGAACTCTACTGGGCTGTGAATAATATTTACTATGCTCACTTTGGGACTGAACTTCTTCATCCTAAGACAGTAAATATAAAACCTGCTTTCAGTCTTCTGTCCCTTCAGACTTTGTTTGTATCCCCTTTGCTTGTGCTATGAATTGCCTTAATTGAGTCTATGATACCTTCCAGCCTTCCTAACAGTATGTCATTAAGAGTGGCCTGATATTCTGTATATTTCAGAACAAACATTATTGAGTGCATGCTTTATGCCATGCTAAGTACTTTATTAATTCATTAAATCCTCAGTCCTATGAAGGAGGTATATTAACTATTCCTCTCTTACAGATGAGGGGACTACATCAGTTTTTCCTTCTATTCCAGATCGTTCCCTTTGACATATAAAAGAAAGATGTTAAGAAAAAAGTGCTCTTGACCTGACTTTGCCCTTCAACCACCACCCTATTCCCCTGCTCCTCTTTTTTTTTTTTTTTAATTTTTTAGAGAGAATCTCAAACAGGCTCCATGCTCAGTTCAGAGGCCAGCATGGGGCTCGATCCCATGACCCTGGGATCATGACCTGAGCCTAAATCAAGAGTTGGACGAGTGAGCCACACAGGCGCCCCTCTCTGCTCCTCTTGACAGTAGAGTTCCTTATAAGGTGTCTGTACTTTTCTTAAATGTGTCTTCTCCCATTCTCTGTTAAGCCCACTTTTCTTCAGCCTTTCACCTACAACTCCACTGCAGCTGCACTTGTCAAGCTCACTCTCTCAACTTCTTCTACGTTAGTAAATCCAGTCAGTCATCAGTTTTGAGGCCTCGTTTTACTCCACCTCCCAGCAGCACTGGAGCTACTATGTTACTCCTTTCTCCTGGAGACATTTTCACTTTACTGTCCGGATGCCTTGGGGCTTCCTGCTACCACCCTGGCAAGTCCTTGGTTTCTTTTGGTAGGCTTTCCTTTTGTACCTGACTTCTCAATGATGGAGTACTTTAGGGCTTTGCCCTTGGGCCATTTCCAGGGAGACCCTCGCTTTGCCTCTACTCTTGGATATCTGTTCAGTGTCTCACACCTAAGTCCAAAACTAAATGCCTGATCTTCTCCCCCTAAATCTGTTCCACCTGCAATTTTACCCATCCCAGTTAATGGCAACTCGATCTTTCCAAGGGACCAGGCTTAAAAACCTTAAGGTCCTCTCTCCCCTTATACCCAGTTTGTCAGGAAATTCTGCAGGCTCTATCTTCAAAACCTATCCAGAAAAACCCACTTCTTTCCATTCCAGTGCCAACAGCCAACACCTGGCCCAAGCCATCTTTGTCTCTCATCAGGATTATTCGATCAGTCTATTAACCAGTCTCCCTGCTTTTACCCTTGCCCAGCTCCACAGTCATAGCCGTTGTGTTATTTTAAAACAACAGTGGACCCAAAAGAATTGAAGACATGTTCACATAAAACTAGTACACAAATGATCATAGCAGCATTATTCGAATATCCAAAAAGTGGAATCAACCCAAATGTCCATCACCTGACAAATGGACAAATGAGTGTGGTCTGTCCACACAATGGAATATTATTCAGCCAGAAAAAGGTATGACGTAGTAATGCTGCTGTAACATGGAGGAGAGGAGGAGACTTGGAAATGTGCTGAGAGAAGCCAGCCACGCAAGGCCACAGACTGTAGGATTCTGTCCATATGGAATGTCCGGAACAGGCAAATCCATGTAGAGAGGCAGAATGTAGATTAGCAGTGGCCAGGAACTTGGGGGAGAAGGGTATGTGCAGTGACCACCTGATGGGTATGGGGTTTCTTTTTGAGGTGATAATAAATGTTCTGGAACCAACAGTGGTGGTTGCACAACATGATGAATAAACTAAAATCCACCGTATTACACACTTCCGGGTGGTTAGGATGGTAAATTTTAAGTTACATGAATTTTATCCCAAGTTTTAGCAATTTAAGTGGGATCCCAATACTCCCTTGCTCAAAAATTCCCATGGTTCCTCATTTCTTTGTCAGAAAGCCAAAGTGCTTAGAACAGCTCTAAGGTGACCCCTTACCTCCTTGGCCTCATCTCCTACCACTCTCCCCCATACTCTCTCTGCTCCAGCCACATAGTCTCCTTGGATTTCTTGACTAGGAAATGCTTCACACTCAGGACCTTGAATCCTCTGTGCCTAGGTATTCCCTGGGACTGTTTCCCAACCTCCTTCAAGGCTGTGCATCCCTCAGCGAGGTCTAGCCTGGCCACCGTGTTTGTACTTGGAAGCCCTTCCCCATCTTGAGCATGCCTACTCCCTCATACCCTGCTGGTTTTCCCCACGCATTTGTCCCCTTCCTTCATACTGACCACTGTCTTTGTATGTTTATTGTCTGTCTCCCTCAAAAATAACATAAGCTCCACTGTCACAAGTGTTTAAGTATTTGTTGAATAAGTCACAGGGGGGTTAAGGAAGTTGCCCGAGTTGCAGAGCCGCCACGTGGAGAGACCGTACGTCAAACCCAGGCAGTCTGGCTTCAGGGCTGGGCTGTTACCCACAATGCTATGCCACCAGGGCACTCACTGAACTGCTTTCCTCTGTGTGTCTCATATATGAAGGAAATCTTTTTTTTTCCCTCTTTTTTATGATCAAGTCTGATGATTTGAAGAAGAGAAGAGAGCCTCACATCTGTGCTTTAAGGTAAACAACTGGTGCTATTTGTCAGGTGTGGGAAGTATTATATAATAACACTTTTGTAGAGGAGGAAACAGACTGAGAGATGAAGTAAGTTCTTCAAGGCTTCCTAGATGAAAACTGAGGGAGCTCAGATACAAGCTCAAATCAGTCTGATTCCAGGGCCCAGTTTCTCAATGATAAAATGTTCAACCTTGTTAGTAATCAAGGAAACAATGCAGGAAGCATTTTTCACCTATTAAGTTGGCAAATATTCAAAACCCCAGTGTTGACAGTCGTTGAGACCCCTTTATGCACTGCTGCCGACTTTCTTAGATGATGGTTTTGAAAGATGTATCAAAACCCTAAAAAGTATGCTTATTATTTTGTAGTGTAAGTCCACTTGTGAGAACTTATCCCAAGAAAATAATTAAGGATGAGCTCAAAAATTCCATAGAAGATTATGTGTTGTAATGTTGTTTAAAATAATGAAAAACCATATACAAATTAAATGGCCACGCACTGAGATTTACATAGTTAATGGCACAAATGTAAAGTGGAAAACTCTACAGCTGTCGGCTATGACATATGTGAATTTTAACATGCGAGTATGATAAAGTTAAACCCTATTTCACCAATTCTAAGATACATTTTCTTTTTTCCCATTTTAGCACTGCTGAGATCCAGTGTCTCACAAATTACAATGGTGTCCTAGTTTAATTGGCAACATTTTTTTAAGTGAAATGTAAAATAATACTACTTCTTACAGACAAAGGCATATTAGAGTCAATGAAAGACACTTGTCAAAAGAAAAGATGTTAAAACAATACAGTGTGAATGATTTTAAGAAAGATATATATTTGGCTGTGTGTATACCAACGGAACGGCAGAAGAATGGGACGCTTAAATCTGGCTAGTAGGATTTCAGATTTTTTTTAACAGTTTTTTTTTTTTTACTTCTGGAGTGTTTTTTTCCCCAAGTTTTGCTACAATAAACACATGTTACTTTGGGGGGTGGGGGTTTGTTTTGTTTTTTAAGTTTATTTGAGAGAGAGTACATGTGCACACGAGTTGGGGAGGGGCAGAGAGAGAGGGAAAGAGAATCCCAGGTAGGCTCCATGCTGTCAGCAGTGAGGTGGGGGGAGAGCCCAACATGGAGCTCGAACCATGAGATTATGACCTGAGCCAAAATCAAGAGTCAAGGACACTTAACAAGCGCCCCTTAGCACGTGTTACTTTGTAATAACGTTTTCATCTATACAGAATTTCTATATATGTTGGCAGTCTGCACAGATTGTTATTTCTTCCAAATCCTGAACTATTGCTTATGTATTAATTGTAACTCATAACATTTCATATTTATTTAGACCTTTCGTTGTTCCAAAGAGAGGTGATCGCGCTTTAAGGCATTATTATCTCATTAGCTCACAGCACGCCTCTGGTAAGCATTTCCTATGGGACCGAGGTTCCATTCTATACACACAGGGTAACAGCTGGATGGTGTGTGAGAGACAGCAGTCCTTGGTCTTTATAGAAAGGTGACCTTTATCTTTCCCGGTTGGATTCTGCAATTTCTCTCTTGAATACAATTAACAAGTGAGAATAATGACAGAAAATAACCCTGTCCTCGTGACACCCTCACAGAGTGACTAGAGGAAGGGCTTTTTATGGAATAAACTTGAGAAAGCCAATGTTACCAGTAAAAGAAGGATTTAAGGCTTTGGTAATAGTTGTTTAAAGCATCAAGACTTTGCAGAAATGTTTGCCACCCACATCTCAAGCCTGGTTCAGCACTTTGCTCTGCTGGCTCATTCCATGTAATTTGCAACTGTTTTTAAAGTTATGTGGCACTTCTGGGTGAACTAATGTAGCACAGTAGTTTACAGAAATTTTTTGGTTTGGTAATGTATAGTGCAGAAGAGGTACTCAGTATTAAAATCTCAGATCAGCCTGAAGACTTGATATTTATGAATAGCACAATTGCATTTGGTGGGAATTTCAATTGTGTACATCTGGACTTAGAGGATCCCCAAAATTTTGTCTGTGTGTGCAAAATGTGAACTAATGTAAATCCTTTCAAAATGATATAAATTCATCGAGATTAACAGAATTTCAAAGTTGATCAGCTGAATGAGTTATAAATTGTATTAAAGAGATTTCTGTACAAAGAACCACATTAGGTGGTAAATGGAAATGGTCGGCATCTTTTAGTGGTATCCTGCTAGCATCAGAACCTCTTTGAAAGGGACACCTGGGTGGCTTGGTTGGTTAAGCACCTGACTTTGGCTCAGGTCATGATCTCACAGCTCGGGAGTTCGAGCCCTGCGTCAGGCTCTGCTGACAACTCAGAGCCTAGAGACTGCTTCAGATTCTGTGTCTCTGTATCTCTGCTCCTCTCCCATTCTCTCTTTCTCTCTCTGTCTCTCAAAAGTAAACATTAAAAAATAAATTAAAAAAAAAGAACTTCTATGAAAGATTTTCCCGAGTGCCACATAGTTAGCATAATATAGACCGTTACTGCAACTTAAAGTTTTTAATCTACAACAGTGTCACCCAAGTGGTCATTAAACAGTGGAGCCAGTTTTAGTGCTGAAGAACATATCTAAAAATCAGTAACCTCGGAATGGAACATCAGTGCAATAAATTATGACAGAGGCCAAATCACTGCCATGATAGGGCATGCCATAAATTTAAGAGGAAGAAAGTAAAATGAAACAGAGAAAAAAAGATTACAGTAGATAGATTAGTATTTATTTCTCTTTATTTCAGTTCCAAGTCCTAAACTGTGCAAGTTTAAAGTAAAGAATAAACCGCAGCCTCCAGAAAAAAGTAGTTGTGGCCTAGATCCAAATGGAGGCCTCACTACAGCCTAACAAGTGATCTTTGTTTACATTTCTAGGAAAGTTCTGTTTGAAGATTTCCGGACTTGGCTTGCTGACATTTCCAAGATTGACCTGGAATCAACTATTGACATGTCCTGTGCTAAATATGAATTCTCTGGTAAGCAAGATAAAGCCCTTGACATCTGGAAGTCTTAAAGGCTTTAACTAACAGTGGCAAGAAGATAGCACCAGTGTGCCAGAATCCTGGGCTGCGTGTCCCCGCGTAGCATTAGAATCTGCTCAGTAAGGAACACTTGACCGGCTCATATACCGAAACGCCCACCTTCCTGGAAGGTATAATAAGGCAGGGGTTGTCTTTGGTGGAAATATGAAAACTGTTGACCATATTTCCCAGAAAATGCTGACATTGCACATGCACACCCGCTTTGTGTACAGTATCAGGAAACTCAGAGGTGATGTTGTAAACTCTACTCGTAGAACCACATTCTTAAGGGAAAAAACCTCAATATAGAAGGATACAGTGTAAACCTTGACAATCCCCTTCCCTTTCTTTTTGTCCCCCATCTCTTCAGAGGGATCCATTATCACCAGTTCCCTTTGGGAGCATGTAAATGTCTTTTTGAAAACATGTTTGGTTTTTTTGTCTACAAGAAAAAGTATTTTGTTTTGTGTTCCTGAGTCCAGTTTTGATTTGGGTTTACTCTCACACAATATAAAGTATAATTGGGGGAAGTATAAATTGGTAGCAACTTTTTGAGGGTAACTGAGTGGTACACAGGAAGAGTCCTATCATACGCCCTTTTTAAAAAAAAAAAAACTTTTTCTTTTCAATTGAAATAACTTCAAACTTCTAGAAAAGTGGCAAGCATAGTACAAATAATGTATTTCCTGTTGGACTTGGTTGCCGTCCTGCCCCATGACCCCCAACTGATTCCTACAACAAGGACATTCTCCTGTATGATAATGATAAACCATCAAAATCAGGAAGTTGAGATTAATACAGGATTCCCATCTAATCCTCAGGCTCCATTCAAGTTCTATTATTTGGTCCTTGATTGCAAAAGGATCTAGGGGCGCCTGGGTGGCTCAGTCGCTTGAAGTGGCCGACTTCGGCTCAGGTCATGATCTCACAGTTCGTGAGTTCAAGCCCCGCATCAGGCTCTCTGCTGTCACCCGGAGTCTGCTTCAGATCCTCTGTCCCCCTGTCTCTGCACCTCCCATGCTCGCTCCCTCTCAAAAATAAATAAACAAAAAAATAAATAAAATACATGTTCAAAGGATCCCATCCAGGATTGCGCCGTGCATGTAGTTGTCATGCCGGTTTGGACTCCCTCAGTCTTTCCTTGACTTTCATTGTCTTAATGCTTCTGAAGGTTTACAGAGGAGTCATTTTGTAAAACTTCCCTCAGTTTGAGTTTGTCTGATGCTTCCTCATGATTAGATTCAAGCCATGTGTTTTTGGTAGGAATATTACAAAATTAATTACGTGGGGGTTTTTTGTTTGTTTTTTGTTTTTTTTTTTTTACTGCATCTTCTCAAGTGGTATGTGGTTTCTGTGTGTCATAGTCTAGTGATACTAACTCTGATTACTTAATTAAGGTGGTGGCTAATGTCAGGTTTTTCGTTTGTTTTTTTTTTAATTAAAAAAAATTTTTTAATGTTTGTTTATTTTTGAGAGAGAGACAGAGCACAAGTGGGAAAGGGGCAGAGAGAGGGAGACACGGAATCTGAAGCAGGCTCCAGGCTCTGAGCTGTCAGCATGGATCCCAACACGGGGCTCAAACCCACAAACCACAAGATCATGACCTGAGCCAAAGTTGGACGCTTAACCGACTGAGCCACCCAGGTGCCCCAGCATCCTCTGATATTTCTTGCTAGGTTATTACTATGCAAGTTGCCAAACGGGGATATTTTTCAATAAAAAATCATTTCTTTTACATTTATTAGTTATTCTACTGTAAAGGAAACATTCCCCTTTTCCCATTTATTTATTCATGTATTTATGTCGGTGTGGATTTATGGATTACTGCTTATGTAATGGGCTATAAGCAGTTGCTGTCATTATACTGATCCTCATATTGTCCCTGATTTGATCAAGGGGAGCCCCTTTAAACTGACTTCAGGTCCTTTTGATGTGTCCCCATCATTCTTAATATATCTTACTTTCTAGCAAAACAAGATTTTCCAGGCTTATCTTACATTTCCCCTCCTCTGGATCCAGAGTTGGCCATTCTTCCAAAGAACCCTAGTTCCTTTTAGTGAAGAATGATGCTTAAAAATCAAGATCTGTGTGGCTCAGTCGGTTAAGCATCTGACTTCAGCTCAGGTCGTGATCTCACAGTTCGCGAGTTGGAGCTCCACATCTACTACTGTCAGTGCAGAGCCCACTTCAGATCCTCTGTCTCCCTCTCTCTCTACCTCTCTCTCTCTGAAAAATAAATGAACGTTAAAAAAGAAAAAAATCAAGGGGTGCTTGGGTGGCTCAGTCAGTTGAGCGTCCTACTTTGGCTCAGGTCGTGATCTCACAGCTTGTGAGTTCGAACCCCATGTTGGGCTCTGTGCTGACAGCTCAGAGCCTGGAGCCTGCTTCAGATTCTGTGTCTCCCTCTCTCTCTTCCCCTAACCCACTCACATTCTGTCTCTGTCTCTCTCAAAAATAAATAAACATTAAAAAAAATTTTTTGTTTAAATCAAGATCTGGACTGTAGGTGTTTTTGCTGTTAGGGTGTCACCGCTCCCAGGCCTTTCAGTGGGAAAGAGGCAGCAAACACATATGCACATATACACACACATGTGCACACACGTGCATTTACACTTTTGTGTGTTTCAACATCTAGAAATATGTAGATATATAAATATCTATATAAACATCTACACATATAAGAAGCTCAATTCACGTTGATTCCTGCAGTTGCAATTCAACACTTTAGGTTTATCCCAGATTTTGCCATTTCCGTATTTGTAATTTCCTACCTCAGCAGTAAGAACCATGGCTTCCATTATCTTCAATAGATTTCTTTATCAATCGATCATGATCCCTCCATGTGTGAACAGTCTCAGTTCACCATAGCATGCCTTCCCTCCCCTGCCCTACACAGATGCCTGCCTTGCTCAGTTCCACCAAATGGCCCTTAGAAGTTTTAGCTCAAGAAATAAATGGGAATCAGTACCAAAAGGTCTATGTACAGTGATGTTCATTAAGGCAAATGGAGACAACTTAATTAACAAGTGGAAGATTAGTTAAAGGGGAAGGAAGATAATTCATAACCCGTATGGTATACTACGTGGCCATTAAAAAGCATGACAGGTGTGTATACTGATGTGGACACTTACCATGTAATAAAAAGGCCACAAAATAACCACTGTAGGATACTGTTTTTTTTTTTCAACGTTTATTTATTTTTGGGACAGAGAGAGACAGAGCATGAACGGGGGAGGGGCAGAGAGAGAGGGAGACACAGAATCGGAAACAGGCTCCAGGCTCTGAGCCATCGGCCCAGAGCCTGACGCGGGGCTCGAACTCACGGACCGCGAGATCGTGACCTGGCTGAAGTTGGCCGCCTAACCGACTGCGCCACCCAGGCGCCCCGGATACTGTTTTTTTTAAAAGCAAATGTATGTAGGAAAAATACTGGAAGAATATATGCAAAAATACTGTTAGTGATTCTCTCTGGGGTCTGTCCATATATGTGCCCTTCAGTGCTTTTGGAGTCCCCCATGTTGCCCGTTTTATGTCTCCAATTATAAACCAGGAGAATAAGTGTCATTTTACAGCTGGAGGAGTTCACATTACAGATGAGTATCAAATGGACTGATATTAAATGCTGGATCCAATCAGCTCCAGCTGCTCCTGGAGCTGCTCCTTGCGGTGTGGGACGTTAAAGTGTGTGTTGCACTATTGCAGATGCCCTCCTCTGCCACGACGACGAGCTGGAAGGGCGCCGGATCGCCTTCATTCTTTACCTGGTTCCTCCCTGGGACAGGAGTTTGGGGGGCACCCTGGACCTGTACAATGTTGATGGTAAGACAAGTGCATGCTCCTTGGCACTAGCCACTTCTGAGTTCTTACATACAACATGTGTACTCATCTAAGGAGGCGGAAGCCATTCAGTGGGGTGACAACCGCAGGGGAAGGGATGTCGGCCCTGACAGCTGCCTCTGAGTTGTGCTTCAAGTCGTCATTACTCCAGCAATAGAGTCCATTAACAGGACTCGGCAGACCCTACTTCTGAATACTGACCGCGGAAAGGTAGAGTGCGTATACATTCGCCTGGCACCGTCGGTCTGCTAGGGTGAATCCATCTGACAGGAAGCCAGGGCTGTTTTCTAAGGACCGACACCAAATGTTGACTCTGGAAAACTTTCCGAATTTATTCCAGCTCTCATCAATAATAGAGGGATGGCGTAGTGAGAACAGATATCACCCAGCAGAACCAGCAAGTATGAGGGAGACAGATGGAAGGGGGTGGTGGTTTGGGATCTGCAGGGTACGTCTAGTTCCCCCTAGAAATCTGAGAATTGTTAGAGTGAAACAAGGCGGACTGGAATTGGTTAACGATAACGAAACCACATCTGTGGTTGTTTTCTCTCCTGGTGCAGAACACTTTCAGCCGAAGCAGATTGTCAAGTCTCTTATCCCTTCATGGAACACACTGGTTTTCTTTGAAGTGTCTCCAATATCCTTTCACCAGGTAACGGTTGTAAACCACAAATATATAGAATGTAAGGATCATACTTTTTAGTTCCCCGTTAACAAAATATGACAGCTTCCCGATGGACCCCTGTGGCCAGATAGTGCCCACATCCGTTGTGATGGATCTGGAAGTCAGTGCACCCTGGCTGGTGACCTTCCTCCTTATCTGGTGTGTTCATTCATATGCTGCTGGCCTTTCTTTTCAGGTGTCTGAAGTCCTGTCTGAAGAAAAGTCACGTTTGTCTATAAGCGGCTGGTTTCATGGTCCTTCACTGACCAGACCCCCCAACTACTTTGAACCACTTGTACCTCGGAGCCCGCACATCCCACAAGATGTAAGGATAAATGCCGGTTGTCGGGCCTCTTCTCTAGAAGCTGTAGCATGTCGTTTGTTTTCCTGGTAATGAAACTAGACTTTACGTTTGCTCTTCCGCTCTTCTTGGATAAACTTTTGATAGTATCTTTTCTCAGGCAGAGTTTTCTGGCACTTTTATGTGTAACAAGGAGGAAATTATAGAGTGAGGATTTGCATATATTTTACTGTTATGAAATGACATAAGTGCAAAAGCAATAAGAACTGTGAACTCATATTTGGCATCTGCTCCTCCTTTTAAGCATGAAATTTTATATGATTGGATCAACCCTACTTATCTGGACATGGATTACCAAGTTCAAATTCAAGAAGAGTTTGAAGAAAGGTCTGAAATCCTCCTAAAGGAGTTCCTTAAGGTAAGCCAGCATATCCTGTCCAGTATATCTTGGGGACATCCTAACAAAATCTCACTGTTATAACAACTTCTGCTTTTGTGTTTCTTCTTGGGTGGGTGCATAGGCATCATTAAAGGAGTTTTTTTGTTTTACTCCTGATTAGAATATTTTTATCACCCTCTTCTTCAAATAAAATATGGAAGCAGTACTAGCAGCCGACATAGGTAGCAGTTGTATGCTTAGTGGGTTAAGAGTCCCTTGGGTGTTCCCCAGTTTTCTAAAATCTTAATGGTGCATACACACACACACACACACACACACACACACACACACACACACACAACTAGCCTCTAGGCTGAGAGGGAGTTGTATGTATTTTCCTTCCTATTCATTTGGTGAATATGGTTCACTATAAGCTCATTGCTTTTAGTAGAGAGATTATTAATTGGTCAACCCCTATTAACGAACATTTGACAAGGATGAGGTAGCCCATTTCAGTGGCAAGGGAACTACATCAGAAGTCAGAAGGACTCTATGTTCATGTCCTGGCTCTATGGTTTTACTAACCCGAGCAAATCACTAAATCTCTCTGAGCTTCCATTTCATCATCAATTAAACTGCAATAGGACCTGCCTTGCTCGTCTTGAAGAGTTACTGTGAGGGCCACACGAGATCATGGATGCTGGTGTGGTGTTTCACAGTGATCCTGCTCCCCCCAGAAGCGCAGTCCCAAGAGCTGTTCCTCCATGAGAAAGATAAAGGTTCTGTCTCTCTCTCTCTCTCTCTCTCTCTCTCTCTCTCAGAATTTTAAAGCTGACATTAGCATATTAAGGAATTTGAGAAGCATAGTAAATAAACTTGTTTGACCCTATTTTACTGAGCTTACCTAAATCAGGCTTTGTGATCCTCGTTCCTGTTTTACAACCGATAGGACTGCAGTGTTGAGAACATTCCTTGGGAAGCTACATTAAACAACTATAGAGAAAGCCTCTTGAGCATATTTCAACAGATTATTCAGCTTCTTGCTCTGTTCATGGCTTATTATATTTATAAGGCTGATTAAATAAAAGTGAGGCCTGCAAGAGATTTTCGTTGTAATGACATTGGCTGTTTTGCAGCTTAATTTTTTTCCCCTCATATGTTCTGGATTGAAGTCTGTATTGTGATCTTCATTTTATAAATGCAGGTGACTGAGATGTTGAGCAATTTGACATAAGACCTACAACTGCTAAAGGAGATAGTCCAGATTAACACTCGAATCTCTTGGCTAAGGCATGCTGATGATTTATCCAGTCTTTGTTCTGGCTTCACTGTATCAGGCCTGGGGTGGGGGGGTGAGTGTCGGCTGGCCCTTTTAGGAATCAGCCAGAATGATTCTGCAGAGCTGCTCCAGCTGCAAGACCAGGTGTGGGACTACAGGGAGAGTCCCTGACTGTTTTTTTTTTCTGTGCTCCTTTTCCAGCCTGAGAAATTTGCAGAGGTCTGTGAGGCTTTGGAGAAAGGAGATGTGAAATGGAGCAGCCGAGGTCCCCCTAACAAAAGGTAGAACCAAGACATTTGCATTTAGCACCTGCCTGTTGGTCAGCCAGGCTCACCTCCGATAATAGGACATTGGCCCTGGTGGTGTTTCATCCCCACAGCCATCTGGTAGCAGGCCCCGAGAGAACCTCACTGTTAGAACAACTGGTGATTCAGTGAGCTATGCCAAGGTTTAGGCAGCGGGGTACAAAGCTAATGATCGGCTTTTATTCCACGCGTGATATTACGTCTGTGGCTTCGATGAACAACTTGGCATCGCTGCTTTCCAGGTTTTATGAGAAAGCGGAGGAGAGCAAGCTTCCCAACATCCTGAAGGACTGCATGGAATTATTTCGCTCCGAGGCTCTGTTCTTGCTGCTCTCCAACTTCACAGGCCTGAAACTCCACTTCTTGGCCCCTTCAGAGGAAGATGAGGTGGAGGACAAAAAGGAGGGCGAAGGCACCTCTGCAGCTGATCACACTGAAGAAGGGACTAGCCATAGCTCCCCTGGGCCCCAGAGCCCTCAGACAGCCGTCAGCCACAGCAGCCAACAGAGCAGTGAACAGACAGACCCAGAGTCAGAGGAAAACGAAGCCAAGAGAGGTAAGCTGTCGATATGATTTGTCCTTGTGTACCATTAAGCACTCACTAGTCAATCATTTATTCACCCAACAAATATTGCTTGTGCATCTGCTCTATGCTAGGCCTGTTTCAGGAACTGGAGGACAGAACAAACAAGGTCTCTGCTCTCCTAGAGCTAATATTCTAGTAGGAGAGGACAAAGATTAAACGTGTACACGAACCACAAGGACACATCAAATAACGATAAGTGCCATGCGGAAAACTTTCATAGGGTCACGTGTGAGCAACGACCGCGTGGCCTCTGAGGTGAATGGGCAGTTGGAAGAGCCTGTCTCAGAAGCTGCTATTTGAGCTCAGATTGGAATAACAAGGATCTATGGGAAGAACATTCTAGATAGGAGGAGCAGCTCGTATGTTTTACTAGGCTAAAGATTTACGAACAGTGGACAGAAATAGGACTGGCTGTGCCCCAAACTACTTTAAAACACAACATCATCAAGGAGAGGAAGGTGAGCAGCTTATGTCTGCTAAGGACCAATAGCAGGCTAAGAAAAACTTGTTTGCATTTGGGCACATGGACAGAGGAAATGATTATTAAAACTAGAGGAAGTCTAGGGGCGCCTGACTGGCTCAGTTGAAAGAGCATGCGATTCTTTTTTTTGTTTTGTTTTTAATGTTTATTTTTGAGAGAGAGAGAGAGAGAGACAGAGTGGGAGCAGGAAAGGAGCAGAGAGAGAGGGAGACACAGAATCCGAAGCAGGCTCCAGGCTCTGAGCCATCAGCACAGAGCCTGATGCAGGGCTCGAACCCACAAACCGCGAGATCATGACCTGAACTGAAGTCGGACACCTAACCGACTAAGCCACCCAGGCACCCCAAGAGCATGCGACTCTTGATCTCAGGGTCCTGAGTTGGAGCCCCACGTTGGCTATGGAGATTACTTTAAAAAAATAAAAAATTTTAAAATTTTTTTAAAAAGTAGAGGAAGTCTTTCATCATCTACAAACAAGATGAAAAAGAGAAAAACATAGGAAATTTAAGAGGGAAGGCTTCTGTGGATTTGGTGACTGAGTAGTTACCAATTCAACATACATGTTTCAGTACCTACTAAACCAGTCGAGAAAATCTGTTTCCCAACTCCTCTCCTCAGTTTTACTCTCCCTGCTTCCGCTCTGATTTCTTGAGAAGGACCCCATGCAGTTAGAAGAGCAAGGACAAGGGATCGCCGTGGAAACAAACCCCCGAAGTGTGACAGGGAAACCACAAGCATTGTAATGCAGATTCTGTGGCCTCCCAAACGGACTGACCTGTTGCTTTTGTCACCACAGATACTTAGAACACCAGACCCAGGTAGCTTTTCCTGTACTGGTCAATACACAGCACTTTCTTTAATAATTTTTTTTTAATGTGTTTTACTTTATTTTTGAGAGTGAGAAAGAGAGAGAGAGCAAGCAGGGGAAGGGCAGAGAGAGGGGTACACAGAATCCACAGCAGCCTCCAGGCTCTGAACTGTCAGAGCCCGACATGGGGCTCCAACCCATGAACTGTGAGATCATGACCAGAGCTGAAGTCAGATACTTAAGTGACTGAGCCACTCAGGTGCCCCAAGATGGCCTTTAAGATAGAGGTTGGCTTTCCTTGATAATTGAAACTGGCATCTATACTTGGACCCTAAAAGGAATCAGGTGAAGATCAGTGGAGCCTCAGGGGCTGTTTAAAAAGGTATTTGTTTACCACTATTCCTTTTGGTTTCATTTTTATGGGAACCTGCAGCTTAGGAAAAAAAAAATCTATATAGGCGGCCAAAAGATGCTTTATTCTATTACCAAGCGTCTACTGTTATGGAAGACCCTGAACCAAAGCAGAGCAGGGAATACAAAAGGTAAACATGAAAAGTAACTGTTTGCAAAGTTTATCATCTTAAAAGGGTGGGGACCAAGCTATAAAGGAGCAGAGTTTTTATATTTTATTAAACTGGCATAAGTTCAAATTAGAGGCTTTATAACTTTAGGATGTTAAATGTAACCCATGTGATAACCAAAGAAAATAGCCATAGAATATACATAAAAGGAAACAAGAAAGTAACTTAAATGTTTCAATGCCAAAAAACAAATTAAGTACAAAAGACAGGAATGCAGGATATGGGGGACAAAAAGCTATAAGGCATTTAGAAAACAGGGGCACCTGGGTCACTCAGTGGGTTGAGCGTCTCTTGATTTCAGCTCAGGTCATGATCCCAGGGTTATGGGATAAAGCCCCACATTGGGCTCCACACTGAGCATGAGCCTGCTTAAGATTCTCCCTACCTCTGCCCCTCTGCCACATGCTGTCTCTCTCTCTAAAATAAAAATATTTTTAAAATAGCAAAATGACAGAATTAATTCCCTCTTTATTAGTAATTATTATTTTTAAAAATTTGTTTTATTTATTCATCTTGAGAGAGAAAGCACAAGCGAGGAAAGGGCACAGAGAAGGAGAGACAGAATCCCAAGCGGTGTCCGCACCATCAGAGCAGAGCCCGATGCAGCACTCGAAACTACAAACTGCGAGATTATGACCTGAGCTGAGATCAAGAGTCCGCGGGGCGCCTGGGTGGCGCAGTCGGTTAAGCGTCTGACTTCAGCCAGGTCACGATCTCGCGGTCCGTGAGTTCGAGCCCCGCGTCGGGCTCTGGGCTGATGGCTCGGAGCCTGGACCCTGTTTCCGATTCTGTGTCTCCCTCTCTCTCTGCCCCTCCCCCGTTCATGCTCTGTCTCTCTCTGTCCCAAAAATAAATAAACGTTGAAGAAAAAAAAAAAAAAATTAAAAATAAAAAAGAGTCTGATGCTTAACCAACTATGCCACCTAGGCACCGCTCTATTAGTAATTACTTTAAATATAAATGACTATCAAAAGAAGGAGATTGACAAAGCAGACAGGAACACATGATTCAACTATCTGCTGTCGGGGCGCCTCGGGGGCTAAGTCTGTTAAGCATCCAACTTCAGCTCAGGTCATGATCTTGAGGTTCATGAGTTTGATACCCACATGGGGCTCACTGCTGTCAGTGGAGCCCACTTTGGGTCCTCTGTCCCTCTCTCTGCCCCTTCCCTGCTGTCTCTCAAAAATAAATAAACTTTTAAAAATGTTTAAAAAAAAAAAGAATTTCTTTAAAAAAAAAAAATACTGTCTGCTATCTACAAGGGACCCGCTTGAGATCCCAGAAGCAGAAAAAGATTGAAAATCAAAGGATGGAAAAAGATGTTCCATGCAAGTAGTAACCAAAAGAGAGCAGGAATGGCTATACTAATATCAAATAGACTTTATCTTTATTTTATTTATTTATTTATTTATTTTTTTTTTTAATTTTAATGTTTATTTTTTATTTGTGTGTGAGAGAGAGAGAGAGAGCAGGGAAGGGACAGAGAGAAGGAGACACAGAATCTGAAGCGGGCTGCAGGCTCCAAGCTGTCAGCACAGAGCCCGACACGGGGCTCGAACCCACAAACTGCGAGATCATGACCTGAGCCGAAGTCGGATGCCCAACTGACTGAGCCACCCAGGTGCCCCTATCTTTATTTTATTTAAATTTTTAAGATATCATACAAAGTGTCTTCTCTAACCACAACAGGATGAAGTTAAAAAGAAATGAGCTATCAAGCCATGAAAAGATACAGAGGAACCTTAAGTGCTATTACTGAGTGAAAGAAGCCAGTCTGAAAAGGCTACTTATTGTATGATTCCAACTCTATGACATTCTGGAAAACGCAGAACTAAGGAGAGAGTCAAATCAGTGGTTGGAAGGCACTAGGAGGAACGAAGGGATGAATTAGGTAGAGCACAGGGGTTTTATGGCATTAAAACCAATTCTGTCCAATACTGTCATGATGGAGACTCAACATTACTCATTTATCAAGACCAATAGAATGTAGAGCACCAGGAGTGAACCCTAATGTAAACTATGGATTTTAGTTAATGTGTAGTATCAGCTTGTCAATTGTAACAAGCGAATCACACTGAGACAGGATGTTAATAAAGGAGAAACAGGAGGTAGGACAATCTATTTTTTTTTTAATTTTTATTTTTTAATGTGTATGTTTGAGAGAGAGCGAGACAGAGCATAAGCAGAGAAGGGGCAGAGAGAGAGGGAGACAGAATCCGAAGCAGGCTCCAGGCTCCGAGCTATCAGCACAGGGCCCAATGTGGGGCCCAGATCCACAAACCGTGAGATCACAAACTGAGCCAAAGTCGGACGCTTAACTGAGCCACCCAGGCACCCCTGCAGTCTGTTTAAAATTATAGTATTTATTCATGTTATAATTTTTTTTTATTTTGGCAGCTAAATATTCTATCTGAAACTAACTGTAAAGAAAGAGAGCATCAACGTCCCCCCCGCCAACAGTCAGACATGGTACATTTCTGACAGTCACTGTTAAGGCTAGTTTGGTGGAGTAATAGATCAGAACAATAGGTCAGTAGGTCAGAAATCATTATGGGAATGATTTCACTTTAGTGCTGGATCATTCCTGCTTACTATTCCCTCGCAATCTAGCAGTTGTATCAAGTTATTTTAAATTTTTTCTGGCCTTCTATGGTTTTTTCTTAGACTCAAGTGTTCCCACATGCCAGGGGGAGTTGAGGCGTTGGAAAACTGGTCACTACACTTTGATCCATGACAACAGCAAGACTGAATTTGCCCTGGATTTACTTCTCTACTGTGGCTGTGAAGGTAAGAGTCAGGAAGTAACTTATGGAAACCAGTGAGCTGTTTCCATAAGAGGGGCAGTCTCTCCCGGTGATGCTCTCCACCTGACCCAATTCAGAAGTGATGTACCTTGGCCAGGATCACAGATCACAGAGGCACCCTGTTGGAAGGGATCTTGGGGGTCATGAACTTCAGTCTCCCCAACTCAAAGGATTTCTATCTGTGACTAAGGTATGGGGGATGTGGACCAAAACAGTTTCCCTCCAAGAACCCTCCCGCCCACTGAGATCTACATCTTTTATGTAATTTTCCTTCCAGGTGTATTTTACATTTAATTCTTAGTTTTCACTCCTTATTCGATGTTGGTTGAACAGTAAATTCCGGCTTATAAGCCATAGAGTTGGTTACCACTAAGGTCCCAGATCCCCCAGTCGTAGAGCAGCCTGGTATGGGCGATGTAAGTAGATGATGGAAGTCTTGTAGGAAAATCTTTCTGAATGCTGTTTGTCTTCCCTTTGTAAGGCTGGGAGCCAGAATATGGCGGCTTTACTTCCTACATTGCCAAAGGTGAAGATGAAGAGGTAAGTTGCTTCTGATAGCAAACTATCCTTCTTCTTAAGGAAGCTTTCATTCTTCACACACCCAATTTTTATGACCTTCTGCCAGTGTCCTTAGCTGATAAGTGCATGATGGTCTGCCTGGCACTGGTTCTGATTTCTAGTAGTAAGTACTCAGCAAGGAATAAAAATGCGAAAGGGTAATCACTAGGCATTTATTCTACCCTATTGAGAAATTCCATAGAAGTTAAGAGTTGATGGTGCATTCCCATGAAATCTTTGGATATAGTAAGGAATAAATGCAGGAGGTAGAACCTTTCTGGGTATGTATTGGAATGGGGTCCGTTGGGAAATGCCTTGACAGCTAGAGCAACAGCGCCTCCTCGTAAAGGATCTTTTAAAAGATCCCCTGTCACCAGTCTGAGTACATGATGTGAAAACCATCTGTTCCGTGGTGAATCGTTGAGGAAAAGAGTTGAGAATAAGTTCTGTGCTCTGATGTGACACTGTATCACTTATTTCAGCTTCTAACAGTGAATCCGGAAAACAACTCTTTGGCACTGGTCTACAGAGATAGAGAGACTCTGAAATTTGTCAAGCATATTAACCACCGAAGCCTAGAACAAAAGAAAGCCTTCCCAAATAGAACAGGTTTCTGGGACTTCTCGTTTGTCTATTACGAATAACAGGGCTGAGCCAAGCTGAAGCAAAGAGACCCTTCCTCAGTACCGGGGAGTGCGGAAGAGCTAGGCATCACGCGGAGAGCTACAAGGTGGCCTGTGTGACCGTGTCTTCAAAACTGCGTGGTAGGACTCATCGTTATTGTCTGCAATCTAGGCCTTGAGCTTGGAGCCAGGTATTTCTCTCTTGATAAAAAAGAAAAAAAAAAAAAAATTTTTTTTTTTTTTTTTTTTTTTTTCACATTCAGTTTTTCATTTTCCATATGGACTTCCTTAGTGATTTTTAAAAAGCTTTTGTGTGTGGTAAAATACACACAACATAAAGTGTACCATTCTAACCATTTTTAAGTGTATACTTGAGTGACATTAAGGATATTCACATGGTTGTGCAATTGTCACCACCACCCATCTCCAGAACTTTGCCATCTTCCCAGACTGAAACTGTCCCCACTAAAGAGTAACTCCCCATCCCCCTTCCTAGCCCCTGACAGCCACCATGCCACTTTCAGTCTCTGTCTCCGTTCATACAAGTGGAACAATACAATATTTGTCCTTCTGCAACTGGCTCATTTCACCTAGCATAAAGTCTTCAAGGTTCATCCATGTTTCCAGTGAGTGTTTGTTTTTTAATACTCATAAATGACTGCTGATTCTGTCCTTCCTAAGCATACTGGTTTAGAAAGTTACAGAAACTTCTGTCCTGTTCTGGGTGGGCTCATTATACTTCCTCCCAGTGCGTATGGCTTTGTTTCACTGTGACTCCCTTAGGACAGTGTGGACTTAAATGATGATGGTATTCCTGCCTTGGTAAACACCGGGCCCCAAACCACATGGCCCCTGAGACTTCTGAGTGGCTGCTTGTGCCATATGTCATCATTCCTGGGGACCCACTGCTTTTCCATCCTGGAGTTGTGGCTCCTGTATAACTAGATGATTCTAGCCTCGCATGTGTCTTTCCTGTCCCTAAATACTCTCGGGTCAGCTATAAAATGAGTTGCCTGTTTTTCTTTAAGAGAACAGATGCTAAAGGCCACATCAAAATGCCAAGAGGCTGTCCATTTTGTTACATTCTCTTCCCTGAACTGGTGTGAGGCTTATGTGACAACTACCACCTATACATGGGGGTGTGTACGAGGGAGGGTAGTGGTCGCCGCGTCGTTAGCTGCAAGATGCTGTTCTCGTTCCAATACTGTCTTCTCGTTTCCTGTTTTTTTACATTGATTACCAACTGTTACCGTAACTTTTATTTGGGATTTTATTAATCAGTAGGAAAAGCATTGGGCTTTTACCTTCTTTAATCTCCTAATACTTCGAGTACTCCCTCTAAAGTTGGCATTTAAATGAAGAGAATGAGGTTCACTTCCTTTAGGTTGATGGTTTCAAGATTTCTTTGATTTTGTACCCCAGATAGATAGTATCTAGATAGATAGGGATAGCTATCTAGAAATTTTACACATGTACGAATATTCAGTATTGTCATAAAACACTAATTTTTCTCGGGTGAGATGAAAAAGAAGTACCTAGAACTAGCTCTAACGTCTTCCCACACACACACAGTACCGGGCCAGTTTACATGCATACTGTTTATTTGGTGTTTTTTCAGTGTATTTATTTTGAGAGAGAGACAGGGAGAGAGCCAGCAGGGGAGGGGCAGAGAGGAAGAGACAGAATCCCAAGCGGGCTCCGCACTGTCAGATCCATGAGATTGTGACCTGAGCCAAAACCAAGATTCAGACACTTAACCGACTGAGCCACCCAGGCACCCCCTACATGTCTGCTGTTTTGGAGACCAGAATTCTTTCACCACAGGGGCGCCCGGGTGGCTCAGTTGGTCAAGCATCCGACTTCAGGTCAGATCATGATCTCACAGTTCGTGAGTTCGAGCCCCGCGTCGGGCTCTGTGCTGACGGCTCGGAGCCCGGAGCCTGCTTCGGATTCTGTGCCTCCCTCTCTCTCTCTGCCCCTCCTTTACTTGTGCTCTATTTCTCTCTCAAAAATAAATAAACATAAAAAAAAATTTTTTAAAGAATTCACAGCACAGTGACACGTGGGATTACAACAACTTTGTAAATAATGGCTTACATGTCAAAGTTTGCCTTTTCTTTTCAGTTCCTACAGACTGAATAAAGGTCATCCCTACAATGTTATTTTCGCTCACTTGCTTTCTGATGTGTTTTCATGAGCAGGAGAGAGGGGGATGAGGTTCTAGTGAACAATCTGTCGGTAGCATAACTGCAAGTGGAAGGCCCAGGGGAAAGCGCCAGGGCGCTTGGAAAAGAGATACTCATGGCCATAGGTGACATCTAGGAGGCCACCCCACTTTTCCAATTCTGGAGCGCTCAGTCTAACTCTTAGCATACATACGACGCAAGCGTTAAAATGTGTTTATTAGTTTCTCCTTAACCTCAGTGTGTTTAAGGTCTGCACCACAGCAGAAGCTTCTGTGCTCTATGCCAAAGGATCTCGCCGTCCAAAGGGAGAGACTCCTGGAGGGCCAGGCTCCGACGTTTCCATCAGTCACATCATCTACGGGAAAGATGGTGTGTTCGCAGGGCACTTTTCTGCACTGAAGACACTCAGTGATTGAGAAGCTGGTTTTCCTTAGTACTTCATTCTTCACCTGGATTTTTGGGGCTTAAAGCCAGTGTCAATAGTTGTGGCAAAAGAGGAACTGAAACACGGGCATCTTGTAAATCCTTCTTTCAGGTAAGAGCTATTGATGTTCACCTGTGTAATAGATGGTATCTTCTCTCCCAACAGTGAACCTCCAATTCTTATCGTTCCTTTTAGCAAAGGAAGATCATTCCCCCGCCTCAAAGAGAACAGCTTTATATTTTTTCAGATTATATGAATAATACACGTTCGTTGTGAAGAATTAAAACGTGTAAAAATAAAAAGGCAAGCTCATCTGGAGTCACGCCATCCTGGCACAGCCACTGTGGCGCTTTGTAAGGTACTGACTCGGCTAACCTAAACCACATTTCCCAGAATTCCGTTCCCAGTCAGGGTGAGCCACAAATTCTTGCGCAAGATCTGGGGGGCCCGGATGAGGCGGTAGCCATTTAGTAGCTCACCACGTTGCTTAGCCAGAAGCCCACCTCCTGGTGTGAATCCGCATCTGGGCTGCAACTGTCCCAGCTAACCCAGTTCCCGCATGAGACAATGTGCCTCACAGAGACTGCTCTGCCACTTCCTAGAGCTGCGTAAGGTCAACCCCCCAGAACAAATCCCCTTTACGTGTTAATAATGACGGACACTAAGAACATTTTCGTAGTTATTTGGACAGCATATTAGCATTTCTGTTAGGAGGAAAAATAAGACGTTCAAGGAAGAACCCTATAATAATCTAACTTCAGTACACTGTTTTAAAGATGTGGAAAATGAAGCCTAGAAGAGAAAGGGGCTGTTTTTTAACCTGGTTTTGAACTTGGCTTTCCTACTGCTCACCAACCACCTTCCAAACTCTACTGAATGTGGTGGTTTCTTTTCTGCAGTGGGGAAAAAAAAAATCAATGCCTGGGCTACCTTTCCTAGACCAGCATTTCTTCAGCTAGGAGTTCTGGCTGCCAGGGTCTCTTCAATACCATTATGTACTTACTCGTATATTACTCAAACTGAGTGAGGAAATACAAACCCTGTTAAAAGGGTCACCCTTTGTGACACCAGAGGCAGGCTCTCCAGCCCTAATGAACAGAATATTCCCGCAGAAACACACGATTTCCTTCTCTGATTGATGCAAAATCAGTCCACATAGACAGCTCTGAAAACTACTTGGGAATTGTCCATGTGGCATCGTTTTAGGAAAAGCAGATTTCTGTACCATACAAATAAAAAGATGAGTCAGGAGCTACAGCATCTAGTGTGGGCAGGGGCCAGATGGGAAAGAGGCAAAATGCAAAACACCAAGCTGCAATGGGTGTCTTACTGTACTTTAGTTTCAAAGTGAAAAGTGGAGATAATTTAGTTCTGTGATCACAGGACTCTGCACTGGCAGATCTGCAACTGCTAATTATAAAATTTGAAACATAAATAATGTTAGAAATCATCCTTGTAAAGCACTTCTAGGGTTGCATAATTGTAAAGTCCCTAGTTCTTTGATTTTTGAAGCCACAGATGGGCTGACTAAAGGCAGGCGATTCCACGGAAAGCAGCGGGTGCCTCTCTGTGCTCGGGGCACTGGCTCGGCACCACTGGGAGGAGAAAGGTGATTGAGACGCAGCCCCTGTTCTCAGTGGAGGATTAACATTTACCTAAACACAGAATGTAATAAGGGTTAAAGAATAGACATGGGAGGGGAAGGGTCTCCTGAGGAGAGAGCATTTGAGCTGAGCCTTGATGTATGTGGATAGGCAGACATGGTGGGAAATGATAAAAACCATACTCTCTAAAATATGGAGTGCCGAGGTGCCTGGGCGGCTCCGTCAGTTTAGCGTCTCTTGATTTCGGCTCAGGTCATGATCTCACAGTTCGTGGGGATCAGGCCCCACATCAGGCTCTGTGCTGACAGCACAGAGCATGCTTGGGATTCTCTCTCTCCCTCTCTCAGTAAATAAACTTTAAGAACAATAAAAATAAAAAAAATATAGAGTACCTTAATCTGGATGTGGGCAGGGTGACTTTATTTAAAAGGATGCTTAAAAAATGACTAAAAAGCTTTCTCCCAGATCCCAGAATCCTCAAGATCAGCTTTTTTTTTTTTTTTAATGTTTATTTTTGAGAGAGAGAGAGCAAGCAGGGGAGGGGCAGAGAGACATGGAGACAGGCTCCACACCATCAGCACAGAGCCCAACACGGGATCCGAACCCTCGCCCCAAGATCAGCTTTTTTTTTTTTTTTTTAATTTTTTAACATTTTTATTTATTATTTTTGAGAGACAAGAGTGTGGGCAGGGGAGGAGCAGAGAGAAAGAGGGAGACCCAAAAAATGAAGCAGGCTCCAGGCTCTGAGTTGTCAGCACCGAGCCCGACATGGGGCTCGAACTCATGAGCCATGAGATCATGACCTGAGCCAAAGTCGGACGCTCAACTGACTGAGCCACCCAGGTGCCCCCCCGAGGTCAGCTTTTAAATGAAATCTCAGTGTTCACTTAAAGCTTCAATAAAATTCAGCAACAAAATAGAGCTTAAGCCGTGACATTTTAGAAGGCACTCAGATTCTATCAGGATAGAAAAATGTGACAACAAAAGAGAAATAATTGATAACCATTTTTCTCATCCTTAAGTTGAACATGGTGACTTCTGAGAGGAAACAGATGGTAGAATGTTTTATGAACATTTTCACCTGATCCAGTCTTTACATGACTGGGAACAGTCTGGAATAGCAGGAGGGGCCAAAGCTCCTTGGTTTCAAACCCACACCACGACTCACCAAGCTGTGAGACTCTAGAAAACATTGTGCCTGAGCTGAGATAACTACTATCAAGAGGATCAAATTATTGTGAAAATAACCTATTTTAACCTGTAAGTCAGGGCTATGTAAAGCTACCTTACTGCAGGTCAGCCCCTTCAAGACTTGCCGTGAGTATTTTTAGGTCTAAGAAGGAAGTTTTTTGGCTGAAGAACAACAGAATGACCTTTGGTGAGATTATTAGGATCCCTAAAAAT